TCAATTTGGTTCGCTTCTTAATATAGGCATGTCTCAGAATCTTCTTTTCCTTTGCATGAGAAATCTGATGCCTCATGCCTCTGAAATATGTACCCGTGTTCATGAAATGCAGATGAAATGTCATAGATGGGCAAGTGGGTGGTCTTCTCATGATCGTCGATTAGATCACAGATCTAGGATGCTTCAGGCCTATCACTTTACAACATATGGCGAGGGAGATTAATGTCTAAATTGGCTAATGGGTGATTTGTCGCATAAATCTCTCCTCATTAAGGTGGTTATAGGGATATATGTTGTTGCTCTCAACTTTCTCCTTGGTGTCATCACTTTCGTATCATATCAATTGGGTAGTTCAAAGGTAAGATTCAAACTTGGGACATAGCCTTAGCTAATCAAGCCCAAACCTGAACCCTAAACTTCCTACTCATAAATATGTCCCACCAACAATAGCTTACATAAATGTCTTACGAACAATAACTTGGATGTGGAGGAATTAGACACAGTCACGACGAGGGTGCATATTCCCTTTATTGACATTTCTACATCAGAGAATTGACTAACATAACCCTCGATTAAGATCCACAGTGGTCCAACAACAAGTATGCTCCTTATGAAGCATTCAGATTTCCAAATTCCTTATTGAGTTTCTTAAATGAAAGATTTAAACATGTATGATGAGTGAATAGGATAAGTTTGGTTTGGTAACCTTTTTCTTTTTCTACTGGATAGGCCAGTTATCAAAAGTTTGCATGACTGACAGTTTGGTACCAACCCCAAGTTCAACATCTCATCATGCATTTGGAAAGGCTTCTTGACATTCTCATTTTTAATATGCGCTCCTATAATCTCATGGTAACTTTCCACACTGGGCATCTGAAAATTCCCGGAAAAATAGCACAAAACCATTTCTGCCTTATCCAATTCTCTACTCTTGCAATACCCACTAACCAATTATTCTCCCTCTAAGAATCTTCCTCCCTTAGACAAGCTACATATCAGTGTTTGGTAAGTATAAAAATCAAGTTTTATACCTCTACCCATCATCTCCTCTCTCACACCAACTGCCTCTGTGACGTAATTATTTTCACACAAACTTTTGACTAAAAAGTTACAGATTGGTAAACCAGGTTCAAACCCATCTTCGATTATTCTTCTAAGAAAGCTTTTAGCAACATTGGGCCCGTTATATTCGCATAATGAAGACATAAGAGAAGTATTGATTTCACTAGAGATCGGAACACGTAGCTTCTGAAGCCATACAACCAATTTCAAAGCCGAAATCAGTTTCTTCCCATTCTTATACCCTTCAATAAAAGACCTTCAAGTGAAGTCATCAGGCTCTAAACCTGAATGAATCATTTCGTTCAATAATGCCCTCGATTTCTTCATCTCCCCCTCCTTGCAATACCCACATATAAGCGAATTGCATATCAGGAACTATTCCTCTTTCAACCATTTTATGAAACAGCCGATGGGCCTTCCTAACTCTATCGTCCTTACACAAACAAGTGATCAAGGTAGCGTAAGAAACTAGGTTGGGTGCAACTCCCCTCCTATACATGATCCTGTAGAGATAAAGAGCATCTCCGAGTCTATCTCTCTTTGTATTGTATGCAACTAAATCAAGGTCTAGCCCTTCTCTCTCCTCCATCAGACGCATCTAATAAAAAAATAAAAAAATAATTCGTAAAATATAAATTGATCAAAATACCTTCGTAATTTTTCGAGGGTATTTTGATTAATTTATATTTTATTAATTATTTTTTTCATACTTTTATTAGGTTCGTCTCACTAAGATGTACACGCACTCCAAATTTTATATCACTATGAATAGTAAATAAAAAATAAAAAGAAAAATACTATCGCACAATAGTGATCGTACGATGAAGTTTGGATGGTGATGAGCGTAGACGAAATCACTGTTCATTTTCACCTATAGGTGTTTTGTACTATCTTTCATATATATATATATATATGCACCTAGCTGACGATCACAAATATCCGGTAGTGTTTGAATTTTAGTTTTTTTTTTTTCTACAATTTCAAATCACTTGAAATTTTAGGTGCGTGTTTATAAAAAATAAGTGAATCTTCGAAAAATATCAAAAAAATATTTTACATAAAATAAATTGATCAAAATACCCCCAAAAGTTTTGAGGGGTATTTTGGTTATTTTATTTTTACAAATATTTTTTTATATATATTTTATTAGGTGTGCCTTGATGAGAAGAACACACTACTAAAATTTCAAATGATT